TATCTTTTGCTTTACTTCCTTTTTTTTGCGCATGTGTAGGTGTTATTATTATTTATATGTATATATATATTGGCTTATTATTATAATTATTGCCTTAGTTTATTTCACTTGTATTTATATTTTCATTTTATTTTCATTTTTATCTTTAATTTACTTCATCTATATCTATATTGCCATTATTATTGTTATTATTTTAAGCATTTAAAAGAAATCTAAAACCTATCTTATATTGTATAACTTAATCTAATAGTGATAGATTAAAATGTCTTAGATTTCTATTTAAATACCTTAAGCCTAATTAAATAAGCCCGACTAGCGAAATCTTTTAAAATATTCACTTAATTTAGGTTGGGTCTGGAAATTTAGTTTCTATGTTAGTCCAAAAAGGTGGGTTGATTTTACCTAAAATTTAATTATTGGACATTCACTTAACCCATATTATATATATATATATATATATTATTCAGAATCTATTACTATTAATATGAATTTTTTTTTTGGTTTCGGCCAACCTTTCTAATGGAACCTTAAGTGCTAGCAGCTCTTTCTTCCTTTTTTTTTCGGTTGGCCTTTTCCTACTTGGTCCATGTCGCCAGCCACTTGCTGGCGACTTTCCTTTTTTTTTTTTTTTTTTTTTTTTTGCATTGCTGAAAGCTTCAGCAATGGCATGCCGCTGCTCTCCCGTTCCCCTTCTTTTTTTTTTTTTTTTATAACTTTTCAACATATTTGGGTAAACCTTATCCATACCATAATTAAATTTAATACCCTAATCCTACTAATCCAGATATGAATCCTTCTAAATCTCTCATACAAGTATATATATATATATATAACATAATACATAGCCGTAAAATCTTTAGAATAATTAATGCGACTTAAAAGAGAAGTTTTCACGTGAATTTGGAACTTACAGGTCTAGGTGCCTAGTTGCCTGGTTGATTGATAGCAACGCCTTCCTCTCCTTCTCTATTTTCTGACGACTCTTGCTCTAAGGGGAGGTAAACAATGAAAGGTAGGAATGATGTTTTTTTTTTCTTTGTTGTTTTGAGAAATACGCTAAACCCTAATAACCACCCACTAGTAGATGGGTTAGATAAGAGTTTTAACTGTTATGAACTTTCACCCTATCTTATCTCATTTCTATCCTCCAACCCTTTAATCTATCCTACACTTACTTTTACTTTTACTCATCGTAAATTATCATTCAGTTAATTGGGCAAGAATAAAAAAAAAATGAGCCAAAACTGTAGGTTTTACACTTAAATAGCAGAATTTTTCTTAAATGGGTAAAATACCAAAAAACTCCTTATGGTTTACTAAATGTTTAATTTAACTTCCTCTGATTTGAAAACCTACACTACAACTCCTTGTGGTTTGAACTAATTTGAAAATTGGACGGTAAGTGTCCAATCTAACTGCTATACGTGAAATGTCAATATTGCCCCTATATAAATAACCTCCCTATAGTTTGTCGAATGTTCAATTTAACTCCTTCTAATTTGAAAAATTACACTATAACTCCCTGTGATTTTGACTAAACTGAAAATTGAATAGAAAGTATCGTACATATAGTGGGGCAATATTGACATTTCACACACAACCGTTAGATTGGATGGTTTCTATCCAATTTTCAATTTAGTGAACACCACAGGGCGTTATAACGTAGGTTTCCAAACTAGAGGGAGTTAAATTGAACATTTATCAAACCAAAGGAAGTTTTTTGACATTTTACCCTCCTTAAATCCGTGTACTAACTGGCTACATATGTGTGTGAAGTGCATTTGAATTGACAGAAAACCTGTCAACTGCTCAATGAGAAAGCCACTTCACGCACATACGCAGCCAATTGGTAGACGGATTAATGAAAGAGAAAGGCACAACCAATGAGAACGAGACACAAAGTAACTGGTATGCATAACACTGAAAAGTTGTATTACTTCTTCCATCCCATTAAAAGTGTAATATCTTCTATTTTGAAACATTCCAAAATGTTTGTCAAATTAAAGTCACTTTTGATTTTTTTTTAATGTTGTCCTCATCTTTATCGATATTTTATACTAAATTCAAATTTAAAACTTGAATTTTTAAAGGTAATTTTGGAAACGAATCCTCTAACAACACTATCAATCCACTATTATTAAAAAGTTGAAATCCTAAAATGCAACAAACATTTCGGAGAGAGTATAATTCAAAGAATTATATGTCAAACGTAGGCACAACATGTTTTGTCCATGTGAAATGTGACACATAACGTTCAAGCTGAAATGAAACGTGTTAGTAGCGTAGAGCACTAATAGGCAGTGTTTTGAAACCTGAGTTGAACCGGCCGGTTCAACTGGTTAGATCGCGAACCAATCACGGCTCCAGTCCTAGTACTTTCCACTTACATCATTTTCACACTTTTTTAGGGACATTTGAGGAGATGTTGCGGCAACATTTTGGGAGCTCCAAGACCGCTTTTTCTTGATTCTCTGGCAACAAGAAACAATTAGAAATATATAAGTAAAAACTTAGTTTTCTTGAACATATTTCTCTAGTTTTTTTAGTTAGCTTAGTCTTTCATTTTTCTTGGAGAATTCTTGGAGAACTCTTGATGTGCTCAATATTTTGAAGACAATGAAGATAATGGCAATTGAAAACTCTTGTTTCTTCAATTGAATGAGTAATTTTTTCACTCCTTCTTTCTTTATTGTTGGATTTATGTTTGGTTGCTGATAAGTTACATTTTTGTTATTAAATTTGTGATTATTTCCCCCTTGATTTTAGCCAAATATTGTATTAATGGATAAATTCTACTCATATTTGGTAATTTGTACTAATTGTAGGAATATGACGAGAAAAGGAGTAAAAAGTGGTTTAATGAAAATTTTTAGCCAGTTCTTTGTGGGCCCGTTCAAATCCTACTATCAAGTCTCGGAGGCTCAAGATTTTACTACGAGTGGTCGTATCCCAGTTCGAATGGAATTTCTTCGAAGCATGTTTCCTTATCTGAGATAATTGGTCTTTCTTTTTGTATTAAGAAACAAATAGGTTATATTTTGTCAATTTAGGGAATCTCCATTTCTTTGGAGAAAATTAGGAAATATTAGTTGTTTAGGAAAGTAAGAGACGTGAGAACAAGGAAGTCTTCTTGTTTGCGTTGGCTTTAAAAAGTCACGGTTGTTTTTAGCAAAAAGGGTGATTAGTCTCGGTAGTCGGCACCAATGAAGAACGAAGAGTTTTTCTCTTCGTCTCTTCTTTTCTATTGCTCCTTCTATTGTCGAACCTCAGGCAACTTTTGTCAACGAAATTGCCTAAGTTATTTTCAATGGAAAGCAACTAATCCCTTTTTCTAGTCAAGGGTCAATTTGAAGATACGGTTTCAAATATCTATGAGATTGAATTATTTTTATTTATTTCTTTTATTCATTAGTATTCGTACGTCTTCTGTTTCAACTTCTTATGATTATTTTGTTATTTGAATGTCAAGGACCCGATATTTGAATTAATCTAATAATCTACTACCATATTAATCAATTAAATTCGTAATTGTTTGATTGATTAATACTAGTGGCAACTAGCATGATTGGTTTCATGTTAGGAAAATGTATAATCTAACTTCAATGAACCTTCGTTGCGTATTTGTTAGTTAGAATTGGGTTTTTTCTAATGTTTAATGCAATTGGAAAATTAAACCTATGATCATACCTAGAGTTGTTTCTTGGTTAGGAAAATAATTAGTGGTTGTACCTTGACTATCGGTAAACTAAGGAAAAATTGGCTATCAAAACTTATTGATGGTTTGATGTGTGCACGGACCTCAGACCACGTAATGACCCAATCCGAGTTCCATTATGCCCAGTCACACGTGCACGAGCCAAGCTCTTCAAAGAATTCCTCCAAGGCCTTGTCCGAATGGTCCAAGACCAACATGGAATCCATAGAGATATTGAAGGCCTAGAAGGAGACAAGCAAGTCATCTACACCATGATCCAAACCCATGAAAAGTCAAGTAGGCCTTCAAGTGAGTTGGTCGAATAGGGCTTTAAGCCTTAGTGTTTACTTCGAGTTAGATTAGTCACTTTAGTAGAGTAGGGGCCGGCCATCTTGACACTAAGATGGCCGACTGCTTCCCTTAGGGTTTTTAGGGTTTTTAGTAACCTTTAACCTATAAAAGGCTAGTTTTGTAAGGCTTGAAGGTAGATGTTTTATAAATAAAACTTTCGATTATTTTCGAGCCTTTTATTTGCTTTGGCAAGGGTTGTGAACAATCTTGTGTCTTGTCCTAGATTGTTCTACCGACCTATCCATTAGAGTAATCACCTCTGTGGAGTCGTCGTTCTACTGCCTAAATCAAATCGTGTCGTCCGTTTGATTCTAGGTTCAGCAATCCAAGCGTTGGACAACCTCACTAGATCCTTGGGCAAACGTGCTACGTGTCTCGAATCGAGGACCGTATCATAGTTATAACCAATTTATTAATGAGTGATTAAATCATCCTTGCATCAATGATCAACTGTATGAATCGTATCTGAAAAGTTGTAGCTTTGATTAGAGTCATATTTATTGTTGATTTAATTCCTATTTATTTCGTTAATTGTTTCTTTAATTGGTTAGTGAGTTATTTCTAAATTGTCTAAAAATTTCCCTTACTTTAGGCTTTAAAAAGAGACAAATTTTTCTCAATCCCTGTGAATTCGACCCTACTCATCACTATATACAAAAATTTGTATTTTTTTTAATAGGTATTTATTATTACACAATCTCGACACCTCTCAGTTGCATTAAAGCCTTAAGCTTTTCTATTCTATCTACTATTTTTTTTTTATTCAAAAGGCAATTTTATTAAGTAGAAAGCATGCACTTGTTTTTCAGATATGTATGCAAAATGTGGAAGGTTGGACCTAGCACGTCTAGCTTTCATCAGAATTTCCAAAAAAGACACTGTTTCTTGGAACTCGATGATTACTAGCTGTTGCTAGAATGCAAAGCCGGAGGAAGCAATTGATCTTTTCTATCAAATGGGTTTAGGAGGAGCAAAATATGACTCTGTTAGGATATCTGCAGCTCTTTGCGCATGTGCAGACTTACAAGCACTGCATTATGGCAAAGTAATACATGGATTCATGATTCGAGGAGCATTTAGCTTAGATCTTTATGCTGAGAGCGCATTGATAGACATGTATGCTAAATGTAGACACTTAGAATTAGCATGTACTGCTTTTGACTTGATGAAGTGCAAGATCGAAGTTTCTTGGAATAGCATAATTGCTACTTATGGGAACCATGGACACCTTGAGGATGCTTTGGCTCGACTAAATGAAATGAGGGAAAATGGATTCCAGCCTGACCATGTCACTTTCCTCGCCATAATATCTGCTTGTGGCCATACTGGCCAAGTTGAAGAGGGCAAGCAACTTTTTGAGTGCATGACCCAAGGATTTGGAATTACAGCTCGAATAGAACACTATGCATGCTTAATAGATTTGTTTGGCCGAGCAGGTCGTCTTGAAGAAGTACATCAAGTGATTAGGAGCATGCCATTTACTACAGATACTGGCATATGGGACATGCTACTCAGAGCCTGCCATGTCCATGGCAACGTTGAACTAGTTGAATTGGCTTCAAATCATTTTTTTGACTTGGACTCGCAAAATTCTGGATATTATATGCTCCTATCACATGTGAAAGCTAACGCTGAAAAGTGGGAAGGGCTTAACAAAGTAAGAAATATGATGAAGGAAAGAGGAGTGCAGAAAGCTCCTGGTTACGACGCAATCTCGCAACTCAGGAATACGTGGTTTAACAATTCTTCATTCGGGCAGAAGAGACATTTTGATGGGAGGTTGAAACCAAACTATTGTAAAATTTCTGGAAAAGGCAGCAAGGAGTACAGCAACTGCCACATGAAGCTGGAAATTTTGTATGGTAGTCGTTTATCCCAAATCAGCAGATGTGAGACCATTGGGTCACTTTGTGAGCGCAGCTGCTGTAGTGCTGAAGATATGCTAAAGAGTCCATTGGATGAGGGACACCATGCTAGATGATCATCACCATTTGAGATCGAGATTTGGGGAGATCCGAATGTCATGTATCTCACTAGGGGATAAGGCACTCTCGACAGGTTGTAAGTTCCAAAACCCATTTTCCAAACAATTGCTGACTTGCAGTCCCGGGCAAGGGACATATGCCTTCCCTATAGCAAGAAAGCCCATACCCAACAAGTTTTCAAACCAAAAGGATGAACGACCTGTGCATATCAACCGTCACGAGTGATCCTCCGCAAAATCTCGAGCTCATAGCAATCATCGCCATGTCTTCGATCCTTTGCTGGACATTGGTACCTGGGTTAAATGTGTTGGGAAAGGGGTACCAATACAGACACACAATATCAGAGATAGCCCAGGATAAATTTCTCTTTCCCCAAGTACCAGTTAAAATAGGAATAAATCAAATCACCAAATAATAATACCAACTGTGATAATAAAATGCAAGGAAAAATAAAGGGCACAGGACACCAAGATTTTTACGTGGAAAACCCAAATTGGGAAAAACCACGGGACCTAATCCAGTCAAAAATCTCCACTATCACAATAATGGGAATACACAGGTCTACCCGAAATATTCGGATGACAATAATATCACCAATATCAACCAAGCTAATCTGCTACAAAATCATCCCCCAAAAAACTACAACTGTCAAAGAAGTGGGTTTGGAAAGGTGTTACCAAACGAAAAGGAAATCCGAAATCTGAATCGGTAGATGAGTAGAGCTCGATGAGAGGATCCCGTGTGTAAAGTTTCGTCTCAATCGGGTTTGGAATCGCCCTCCAATCAAGACCTTGAAGTCTCTCTCTCTAGCCCTTTCTCTCTCTTCGTCTCACTCAAAAATAAGTGGCGGCTGCTGCTTGTCCTTTTTAAACTTGAGAAACCCTCAAGTGTTGTATTAGTGGGTTGGCCCACAAATGGGCTGGCCCACCCAACAATCTCCCCCTCCAGCTCATTTGGGGGGCTCCATCAAACCTGCTTCTTGTCTACAAAATAAAAGCTTCTCCTTAGGCAATGCCTTGGTAAACATGTCAGCACCATTATCATCTGTATGCACTTTCTCAAGTGTCAACAACTTGGAGTCCAATACTTCTCGAATCCAATGATACCTCACATCAATATGTTTGGATCGAGAGTGAAATGTAGAGTTCTTACACAAATGAATAGCGCTCTGACTGTCACAGTAAAGGCTATACTTCTCTTGTTTCATACCCAATTCCTGAAGGAATTTCTGCAACCAAAGAGTCTCCTTGCATGCTTCAGTGGTTGCAATATACTCTGCCTCCATACTAGAAAGGGCGATGCACTTCTGTAACTTACTTTGCCATGACACTGCTCCCCCTGCAAAAATCATCAAGTACCCAGATGTGGACTTCCTATTATCAAGATCACCTGCCATATCTGCATCAGTGTATCCATCTAGCATAGTTTTACCATTGCCGAAACATAGACACAATCTAGGAGTTCCCTTGAGATACCTGAGAATCCATTTGACAGCATTCCAATGCTCCTTACCGGGATTAGAGAGATACCGACTGACCACTCCAACTGCATGAGCAATATCTGGCCTGGTGCAAACCATAGCGTACATCAAGCTACCAACGGCTGAAGCATAAGGAACCTTCTTCATGTCTTCTTTATCTTTCTCACTTATAGGACATTGCTTGATATTCAATTTAAAGTGCCCTGCAAGTGGAGTTGAGACTTCCTTAGCCTTGCTCATGTTAAACCTGTTGAATACTTTCTCAATGTATTTTTCTTGAGACAACCATACCTTCCCATTTTGCCTGTCACGTGAGATTTTCATCCCCAATATCTGTCTAGCCGGACCCAAATCCTTCATTGCAAAGGATTTACTTAACTCCTTTTTCAACCTGTCAATCTTTACAGTATCATGACCAACAATCAACATATCATCAACATATAGCAAGAGAATAACAAAATCACCATCTGAAAAATTTTTCACATAAACACAGTGATCAGATGTAGTCCTGTAGTACCCATGGTCTGCCATGAAGGAGTCAAACTTCTTATACCACTGTCTCGGTGCCTGTTTCAACCCATACAGGCTCTTCTTGAGACGGCATACAAGGTTTTCCTTGCCACTTTCTTTGAACCCTTCCGGTTGCTCCATGTAGATCTCCTCTTCCAAGTCGCCATGCAGGAAGGCTGTCTTCACATCAAGTTATTCAATCTCCAAATTCAAACTAGCTGCAATACCAAGAACAACTCGAATTGATGACATTTTTACTACAGGAGAGAAAATTTCTTCAAAATCTATACCTTTCTTTTGACTAAATCCCTTCACAACCAATCTTGCTTTATACTTTGGTTGTGATGTGTGCTCCTGAGTTTTCAACCTAAAAACCCATTTGTTCTTCAGAGCTCTCTTACCCTTAGGCAGTTTCACTAAGTCATAAGTATGATTCTCATGCAGGGACATCATCTCCTCTTGCATGGCTCGCAACCAGTCTTCTTTATTCTCATGGTCTAGAGCCTCACTGTAGGACTCTGGCTCTCCTCCATCTGTCAACAACAAATATTCATGAGAATTATACCTGCTAGAAGGTCTCCTCTCTCTGGTAGATCTTCTAGGCTCTTCTTGTTGTGGCGGTGGTGGTGTAGGTGGCTCCTCATGTTCAGGTTCATCAGCAGTAGGATTATTACCATCATCAATATCCTCTTTCTGCTCTGTCTCAGCTCCCCCTTAATTAAAATCAACAGGTACTGGAATTGGATCTGGATCTGAATTTGAGCTAGCAGGAATGTCATCCGAGGATTTTGAGTTATCACCTTTATCAATGTCTTCAATGGTTTGATCTTCAAAGAAGACAACATCTCTGCTCCTGATCACCTTCTTTTCAATAGGATCATACAGCCTATAACCGAAATCTTCATGTCCATAACCCAAGAAAATGCACTGCTTTGATTTTACATCAAGTTTTGACCTTTCATCTTTGGGAATATGAACAAATGCCCGGCAACCAAAAACTCTCAAGTGCTTAAAAGATATATCTTTTCCCGTCCATACTCTCTCTGGGATGTCACCATCTAGAGGAACTGATGGAGAAAGATTAATTAAATCGACCGCAGTCCTCATTGCCTCACCCCAAAAGGATTTTGGCAATTTAGCATTAGAGAGCATACATCTGACCCGTTCAGTGATGGATCTGTTCATCCTCTCTGCTACTCCATTTTCTTGAGGAGTTTTTGGCACAGTCTTTTCCAATCTGATCCCACGGGACTTGCAATAGATTTCAAATGGTCCTCTATACTCACCACCATTATCAGCACGTACACACTTTAACTGCTTACCAGTTTCTCTTTCAACTTTGCTATGGAAGTCTTTAAACACATCCAAAACCTGATCTTTTGATTTCAAACCAAAACACCAAATCTTTCTAGCAAAGTCATCAATAAAGGTTACAAAATAAACAGCACCACCAAGAGACTTATCTTTCATATAGCAGACATCAGTGTGCACCAATTCTAAATGATTCAATTTTCTAGATGGAAGAAAATTTTGAAATGCAACTCTGTGTTGTTTCCCATAAATGCAGTCAACACAAGGTTTAAGTGCATTACCTCTAATTTCAGGTAGGAGTTGTTTGCGAACAAGTGTCTGAATCCCCTTTTCACCCATGTGTCCAAGTCGCCTATGCCAAAGGTCAATCGAGGAATCACGAACTGCATTCACTTCTCCCTTCCTCAACTTGGCTTGCATCACGTAGAGGGTGCTGTGCTTCTTTCCTCTGGCAACAACGAGATTTCCTTTGCTGAGTTTCCATTTGCCTTCACCTTGCGAGCTATAATAGCCCTCATCGTCAAGTTTTCCTGTAGAAATAAGGTTAAGTCGAATATCAGGAACATGTCGAACATTTCTCAATATTAGCTGACACCCGGTATCTGTGTCCAAGTATATGTCTCCCATGCCAACAACTTTGCATGAGACCTCATTTCCCATCCTAACACATCCAAAATCTCCTTCGGTGTAGGTTGAGAAGAAATGCCTGTGAGGAGTAACATGGTAGGATGCACCTGAATCAACTACCCAGTCACTGTCATAGTGAATAATATTCACCTGACCATCATCACAGAACACAAACATGTCATCATGGGCTGCTACAACTGCTGTAGTGTCCTCATCATCTTTTTCCTTCGCCTTACCCTTTTTCTCAGCCTGATCCCGTTTTAGAATTCTACACTCCTTCATATAATGTCCATTCTTTTTACAATAATAGCATGCAACATTTTTTCGCGACTCAGACCTGCCTCTGGATTTGTCATTCCTGTTGTGGGGTCCTCTACTTTTGCTTCTCCCTCTTCTTTCTTTCTTTTCTGTCACCAGGGCCTGGGACTCATAGACAATTCCTTATTCCTTTCTCCTGAACTCTTCATTCATCACGGCCTCTTTTGCAATAGCCATGGTCAACACACCATTCGGAGCTGAATTACTGATGGAGACCACCATGGTTTCCCAACTGTCCGGTAGTGAACTGAACAATAATAAAGCCTGCACTTCATCATCCAGATTCAAATTTAATGTAGTTGCCTGGTTTATCAATCCCTGAAAATTACTCAAGTGTTCAGTCATATCTTCCCCATCCTTATATCTCATTCGAGTAATCTGCTTCAGACAACTAGCCTTATTCAAACCTGTCTTTCTTTCATACATACTCTCAAGCCTTTTCCATAATATATCAGCTCTGGTGTCATTAGCAAAATGTTGAAAAATACTTTGACCAATCCATTTTCTAATATTACCAACAGTTTTTCTGTGCATATTAGCCCATTTTTCATCACTCATATCACTTGGTCTGCATTTATCCCCTAGAACAGGTTCAAACAAATCTCTACAATACAAGTAGTCTTCCATTCTAGGCTTCCAAATTGAATAATTAGTGGCATTCAATTTTATCATGCAACCACTATCTGAATCATCCATTTTAACAGGTACAATTGAGCAGCCTAACCTGACTGCTCTGATACCACTTGTTGG